TTGAAAATATGATTTATGTTGTAGTTAAGCATGACATTCAACTCTCCTCAAAATGGTTCACATCCTTTGAAATAAAATCAAAACTTTTTCGTTGTTAACTAAAAAATTACGCTAATTACTAAAATCAACATAAGTTAAAAGCCTCGTGACTAGAAACATAATTTCCTCATTAGAATAAAAGTAAATGAATTTAAGAAAGAGAACAATTAAATGTACTTATATATTTAAAACTACCCCTCCATAGGTGATTGCAATACCTAATATTACTTAAAGTTTATTTGGGAATTTAAGTATAAGTGATTTCGTTATTTAGTTTACAATTTAATAATTCTGAAATTTTTATTGTTTTATCTATTGTTGAGTTAACGAGTAAATAATGACTTAAGTTATATAAAATAAAAGTAAGTTTTAACGTATAATTTTATCTTGCCCAATGAGAAATAAATTTACTTAGAATAAGAAAGAATTACCAAAGGAAAAATCAATAAAGCATTAATCAAAAATAATCGCTGTACATATCGCAGGGATTAATAAATCATTTAACACTTAATTTAAATTTGGATAGAAGCTACTTGAAGACCTTTTTTTCATATAATTGGCAACCCAAAAAATTTTGCTCTTTTACACTCAGCAACGAACCCACCCTAAATCATATAATTACTGATATTGATTGTGTGCTGGTTCCTAATCATAGAAATTCCCCGGCACAGATAAAGTTTTTAGCCATTCTTTAACTACTGCCAACTAGTCGGAGTTACACTTAAAGAAAGGGAGGTCGTTAACTGTCAGTGTTACACCTTATCTTTTACTCAACACATATAACGTAATTTTTATATTAACTATGACTGTCATCAACATTAACTTTCATTCATATGAGGACCTAGCGCTTTATATCACTTTCTCTGTATACTAATGTTATTCAGCTTCTAGCCTGTTAGTCACTTAAATTAATAAACAGATTCAAAGATATTTTTCATAGCATTACGTTTTTGATCTTTAAAATACTGTATAAATAATTATATTCTCATAAAAAAAACGTATAGACCTTCAGAGTTCAAATAAAGCCTTGCAATCTCATTAAATTGTTAACAAAAAATTTATTTTTACCTGCTACCATTCACTTCCGGGTTTAAAATTCAATTTCAAGAAGTATTTTGCTGTTTATTAACGTAATTGAGGACTTGACTTGTCTGCAGACCTTGACTGCTTCCCTACAGTTTATTTAGTCAGGATAATTATTTTTTATACTTTTAAACTGTGGTTGACATCAAATAACTTTAAAAAAATTCAAATTTCTCAAAAAATGTTAGCAAAGAGTTACATGTATGAACTAATTCATTAAACTGTAGTATTTATTTGAAAAAATAAAAAAAAATAGATAACGTATGACAAAGATCTTTATAAAGACGTGAAATAAGGGAACAAATAAAATACGCTACTAGTGTATTACATAAGATAGAAATTTAAACAGTAGATCAACTCCAGCTTCGCGTACGACACACTAACACCACTTTTGCGTACCAAACGGTAAAACTTAACACCACAATGCCGAGTCAACGTTTTGAATTAAAAGTATACTGTTAGTTAGAGCAAATAAAACCTCTGAGTCAACGGCTGGTTCCTGACGAACAAAAAATGAAATTTGTTTGTTTGTTTGTAGAACAAATCTACGAGCTCCACTCTTCACTTAGAAGTTTGGACGCAACAACTGAATGAGCCGGGGAACATTCATGAGGAACGTTAAATTATTTGAATCCACAGGGATCGGTCAAGTTAAGCCACCTTATATATAGTACTCACTTGTGTGCACGCAAGCGAGAAAAAGGATTTTGTGTCGTCGATAAGAACTTCATTTGAGAGTCAGATACTATTGTGTAAAAATCGTAATTTTTAAGCGCGTAAGTTACATTATTCGGAGATGAATTGTTATGTTAAAACAACTATCTTAGTATTGACGATCAATTAAGAAAAAAAAAATTATTTAATAATTCAAGTAATCTTTATATGTCCAAAGCTAAGTAAATAATTAACTGTGCTCGGATTTAAACTTTTATATGAAAAATAAGTGTCTTATTCACTGAACAATGCATAAAAAATGTGAACATTGCAATGTCAAAGTTAATAATCAACAAAATTGTGCTTTCTTACACTTTATTTTTCATGATACTACATGCTCATGCAGATGCAGAAGAGGATGTGCATTTTTCTTGGAAGGTCCTTACTTTTGTTGATGAATGCATGAAACATGTAACACTTTTTGACTCTCAATACTTCTAACGTAAAATTTAGGTAGAAAAATGAAATATTTACAACTTACATTGAGTTTCAATACATAACTAAATCATTTGCTGGTGAATATAAAAATTAGTTTAACGAGCCAGTTTTAAATAAAATTTATTAATACAAGCTGCACTGCTAAATGATGGCTTTTTGCAATCCAGGCTATTAGGGTCACAATCATAGGCAAGGAAGCAAGATTTAACATATAGTTAGAGTTTAAGCTGGGAGGCCTTTTCAAAAACTTTTCTTTGTATCGACGTAGAAAAAAATTTTTTTCTCGATACATTATATTTTATTATGATTTGCATTTCATCTATTTACGCAATAGCTTTACATTAGAATTAGAGCTCTTAGTGCGAATAAAATTCAAATGCGTGAATTTGTAAAAAAAGTCGCTATTTGAGTGACGAACGGAAATTTTTACGATATCTGTGCCGAGAAAGATCTTTGAAATATATATTCATGAGAAAATAAGCCACATTTCTCTTAAAGCTTAGATGTTTCTTAACTATCACCCACTTTCTTTACGGTTAGATAGTAAAAATAAGATAAAGACTGTTACTTAAGATAAGTAAAGAGGAACTAGCTTAGCCTGTCACATAAAATTTTTTTTGACAGCCCAAGTTGCAGAACAAAATCACGTGAGACACTGCAATATAATTGAAAATATAAAAAATAACTTTTACATAAATTAAAACGTAAATTTTATATATATTTTTCAAAAATATATAAAGTAGACATATCTGACACATAATTATAAAGTCAGAGATATCGTAACCACTCCTAATAGCTCGCTGTAAATACTAACACGTAATTGATCAGTAGGCAGTATTATCTTCCAGTGAAAAAGAAGCCTTGAACTGATAAAACAACGTCCAAGACAGCCTCATCTTATCAGAGGCAGTTTTGACCAAGCCATACTACTCTAATTTAACAGACACCAAAAGGATGGAAATGAGAAAAACGGAGACATTTACCAGAGCATTACAAGCTTGGAAAACCTGACTCAGATCATAAATTAGAAAAAAAACAGCTAATTTAAAAAAATTTCTGTGCTTTTTTTATTGTTAACTGAAGATAATAAAAAATATTCTGAGCTCAAAATTAATACTAGGTACTTACTGTAAAATTTGTCATTTAAAATGTTACACATGTCAAATTCTATAAAGCGTATTACTTTGAGATTGCAAAGACTTGTATTAAAGTTTTCTATGACAAGACGAGGAACTTGTCCAGCGGATGTCTGCACTCATTGCTAAAACCAACATAAATAACGTTACTTAAGCACTGATAAGAAAAAAAATGCTGTTGTACAAGATATCAACAAGTATCGCCGATAATGCACTAAGCCAATAATATTTAAAGGAGATTACGGTAATCTTAAAGGTTATCAAATAGATTGTAAGGATGACATTAAAACTTAAACCACTACACCAAAAAATAATAACGACAAAAACGATTTATAAAACTTCTATTAACAGTATTGTATAATTTACATTAAGCCATATACTCTTTTCAAACTCTAGGTTAACAGTTTTATACGTCTGTATACAAAAACGACTAAAATCTCTAACTATACATGTGCTTAGTATCATCTCTTATGATACAGGTTGTTTAGTACATAAACTAGAGTTCCTTATACAGTACAAGCATTATTCTATGGTCAATAATCGCTAGCTTTTACTTTATATATGAAACGTTTTATAGTACTTTAAACTTTTTACTGCCTACTTCATACTCATAGTATTAAACTATTTAGCATATTTTTTACATCTTACGGAGTTGTGCAATCTATCTAAAATAAACATAATAATATTCCATACATAAAAATTGAAAGAGTTGGAACCATTTTAGCGGTTTCTATCTATGGTAGTATGAAAAATTTAACTGCTAACTCTTAAGAAAACCTTATATACCACAAATAATAAGATTTTACTCCAACTATTATTTTTATATTCGAAAAAATTGCAGACAATTACAATCTAATCTTCAATATTCTAGTCAAAGCTTAAATATAGCATATGTATATAAATAGAGTGATCGACAAAAAATAAGATTTCTTTTCAAAAGATTTATTCTCAGCTTCTATATAAGTTAAAAAAAATTCTTTGTCTTTAAATCAATGCAGCTGTTACTGTTGTAGTAAGAACTACAAAATCAATAAAATTGATGCTTTTCTAATGATTTCAAAAGTTGATTTGACCTCACTTAATTCAACTTTTTTATAATAATTTCTTATATGCTCATTTTATAAGTGATGTAAATTAGTTGCATCGAAGACGTTAGATATAATCATGCATACCTTGCTAACCAATAAAGATCTTACACGTAGTATTTTCCACTTCTTTTTTGCACTAAAAATGTTGCATACAGTTGTTTATTAGTTATGGTACTACTTGTTAACTAAATAACAACTTTTGCGAGACTGGCATTCTAACAGATATGAATTTCCTGGTTTATAAATGGACGATAAAAAAGTCTTCATAACTTTTTTCCACCGTAAAATTAACAAGAAAACATAGTAAAATTTAAATAGTCACTCAATTAGTACTTTTTTGACTGCCATAAAAACGTTGTTTCAAATGTATACTTAAAAATGTGTATAAATCATTATTATGTTCAAAGAATTAAGTACTATTCTAAATTAGGTATTACAATACAAATACAAAATAAATAAGTATGTAATGAGTTAATTATATTTAATTTAAAAGTTGAATTACCTTATCTGCATTTATTGCATTTGTAATGATTCCTTGATATTTTTTAATATTAATTTTAAACTGCTCTGTAAGTTTTTCACTTGAAACTCTCTTCCATCGTTCTTGAAACTGGGAACGTAAATTATCGTCTGCAGTTTTTTCGTCCATTAAAATTCTTTCAGCCTACAAAAAGCAATTTTCTGTGTAAGACTTTCATTTACAGATAAATAGGAAGGACTGCAATGATGAAAAAAACTGTTAGTGCACAACCTGTTACTTCATTCGGATGTAATAAGCTGTTACGTCTATTAAAAGCAACTTCAACTCAATGAGCTTAATATAAGGTTAATTGATAAACATTAACCAAACAATACCATAAAGTAGTTATATTTGGGATATTCAAACTATTTTTTAGAACAAAACTCATAAAAATATAATTTTGAGAAAAAAAATTACACCCACCACCCTCTCACTAATAACTCACGACCTATTAGTAAGATAGACGACCTTTATCACAACTTTTCTAAAGTTAAATTTACTCGTTACAGATATGACTTTTTTTAAAGAGGAATGGCATACTAATAGGACGTCCCCTAGTTAAACTGTCAGGAAGCTTACTATACTAAACATTCGGAGGATGTGTGTTGTCACACAATATTTCAAGGAAGTAGAAAATACGTGATTTAGCAGTATTATTTTAGGATCCTTATATTCATGGCATGATACGTTAACATCAGAGCATCCGTCTATAAAATCCTGAATATGTATACACAAATTTCATTGAAAAAAATGTATAAAAGTTAAAATTTTGAAACAAATTATGTTTTCTATGATTTATGTATATAAAAAATAAAACTCAAAGTACTTTTCTGCCCTAGGGCATAAAATAGTTTATCAGGCGCAAAGTGTATCCCTAAGCGCCCAATTACACTTTTCACCATCAATTAGAAAAATTATTTACAAAACTCAGGTATCAACGTAAAACAACGTAAACAACGAGCGATAGCCGTTTAAGGGTATAATTTTAGCTCTAGCAATAAAATTCCCTTTTCCGCCCTCGGGTGGTTTTGGGAGGCTGGTACTTCCTTGGGCGAAAAAGCAGTTTTCCGGAACTCGTTCGAACAGTCTCCTTTACGAACCTCGTTACGTCCCTCGCCTTCGGCTCGGGCCGCAAACGTCTCGGTTCGTAAACAGAGACTTTTCAAACTCGTAGGAAAACTACCATTTTTTACTACATTGGGTATGAAAAAATTAATACACTTTGTACACACTAAAAGATAAGAAAAAAAATCTTAGCCACAGCTAGACGCCTGCCAAATGTAGAATATCTAACAAACTTGTTTTAAAAATAATGTTGAAAATTTATGGTGAATGAAATGACTACAAAAGAATTGTTGAGTTTATGTTACGAAAATATACGGTTCATTTTATTTTCATATAGAATAATTAGTCACATTAGTAAGAATTCAGTTTATTTGTAAGTTTTAAACTCTCGGTTCAGTTAGAATACTTAGATTCTCGGTATATTGAGCATTAAAATCAAACAGTAACGATCAACTGTAATAAAAAATAAGCATGTAAAGTGGAACAAATCTTTAACAAAGTATAGCTTCCGAAAATTTTGATCAAATCATATAAGGAATAGATTGTAATCTGACAGTAGTATGCTGCTACACGTTGGACTTGTGAAAAACATATGCGAAAGACTCCTCGTGCGATACTGCAGTAATGTATCTAATGAAATTGCCAATAAAAAGTGGTTACCATTAGTTGTATAATTTCATAAATAATTCTTGCCACTGACAGGATAAAAAGACAGAAGGAGAAAATATAAGTATACTATGTGTAAAATCTACAATCCATTACAAAATGCAAGAGTAAATGAACTCACAAAATATCTTAAGGATTGAGAGCGTTTAAAAAGTTTTAAACATGTTTTTAAATGTATTAAGTACATAAAGTTTGAAACAGTGAGTTTTGAAACGTTGAGAACACGAACATTTTAAAACCAAATTATTCAACATTGCTAATGTACGACATATGTATAATTTAAAAAGCAAGATAGTACCATTGAAAAGTATGCGCATATCTACAGGCCAAATTGTGTATCTCTGGCCTTATTTTGTTATAATTACAACAATTTTAATATCGTCTTTAGGATTTTATCAAATACCATTCATGTAAAACTAGACTTTAATTAATTTTTAAAGTTCAAATAAGCATATCAACGGAATACCACCGCACATGCATTTAATACGAACTCTACACTCAGTACCTATAACAATGCACCATAATAAGTGTGATTTTTTTCATTTTTTTCGTAACAGGGAAAATGCCTTGATGTTACACCACAGGAAGAACGGTAGTGTGGGACTTAGACAGGTGGCCAGGTGTGGGAATAAGCCCTTTTTGTCCCTATCATAAAGTAATCTCACAAAAAATTTAAAGTTAATTTAGGGGGTGCGGAGGGACTGTGGGGGTTAGTATTTCATGATAACCCTATGATAAAGTATTTTTACAATGCATTTCACATTTTTGTGGTAAGATGTGGGGAGGGGATGTGGGGTGGGCGAATTACTCTATAGGTACCCTTCGTTAACATATTTTTATTTGAAGAAGATTATTATGACATTATATTGAAATATTTTAAGTTTTTGTAGAAGCGGTAGTGGGGAGTTGTGGAAGCCACTATATCCACGTGGGAGGCTGTGGAAGAGTAGTGGGGAGCGTGGGGGGTTTACACAAATTTCTTTGGGTTAAATTTACAGAAAAACAAAGGGAGGGGGCTGTAGAAGGACCATGGGGATAAATGGGGGGATGAGTGGACAGCCCCACCAAAATATTTATACACCATACACAGGTAATAATTTAAATGTTAACACAATACTCTACATTTACGTGATACCTACACTTCACGAGAAAAAACTTACTATATGGTACAATCATGGAGTTATAACCAATTAAAACCAGAATCAAAACAATATAAAAAAATACGCATGATATACGTGATAATCTTATTAACGAAAGGAAAAATAATGAGTTAATTTCTGTTGATATCAAATGTTTTTTTTCATTTTTAGACAACCATTTTTTAAAATTATGTTTCATTAGCCTAGGGTTTTAAGTAATTCTTTGTACGGTTTCTAAATTTAACATGAACTTTCATTAGTGCTCAGACCATGGTGCATACGCTAAATAACTAATTTTGCAAGTTATAAATAGGTTATAATGATAAATGTAATTTACGTAATCAACATTAGTATTATTTTTACCATTGCTGATGTAAGGAAAAAATATTTGATTTTAAAAACGTATTTACTTGCGCCAATATTTCAGATAATTTTTTCTCTTTCACATTTTTGCCTTGATGATTTGTTACAGTTTTTCGTATTCAAGTGTTTCTACTATGCCTCTATCAGGCGATACATCTTAAGTACGGTAACTGAACCTGATACGTGTTAGTCCTTTATCTGTGCTCAACAAGTTTTTAGTAATTTTTTGTATTTTACATATTTCTACTAGATTTTTGAAGAGGCCTACAATGATAACACATGATAAGGCAAAATATCATAGATTTATGTAATAAAGATGCTCTGTCACACTTCTCACTTTGTTTATGCAATAATATGCTTAAAAAAAACATTATAACGTAAATATTAGTTCATATACAATATTTCTAATATATTTATTATTTTTAACTTATTTTTTAATTATTATGTTATTTGAATCTTTAAATCAGGATAAAGCTACTTACAATAACCTATAAAAAAACAATAACCTTTCTTGTATACTAACTAACTTCATCCGGTCTTCAACCTTTTTATTTATTTATAGTTATTAAAAATATGCTAAAATAAACCAAAATTATTGTCTATATAAAATTCATGAAAAGAAAGATATTTTTTCTCGAGTTATAATTTCTTCTTTTAGTTTATATTCAGTCATGGTAATAGCTGTATAATTTTAAACGTCATTTAAATTTATTCTAAGTAAAACTTAACCTTACAATTAACATTAAATTTAGTATCAGGACGCGAATCATTGTTAACTTTAGTCAAATATTATTTGTTTTGCTGAATAGTAATAAAATACAAAAAAAGCACTCACTTCTCTTAAACAATTTAGGTTTTTACTCATACCAACATACATGAATAACTTCAAACAACAATTTTAAAGGAGAATGAAAGTTTTCAATAAGCATTTATATTTATCACCAAAAACTATTTATTAAACATTTTTTACACGCTTAATAACCTCTTTAGTTCCAGGTGGCTTACAATGTAATTAGATTATATTCTTGCGAAACAATCTGTGAGAGAAGCGATGAAGCGACGTGATAATAATGATAATTATTTTGATCACAATGGCAATAACAATAATAGTAATAATTATTGTAATAATGATTTTAAGATTTAAGTGTAGCACTTTTTTTTTAAATAAATGGTTATTCAATTTTTAAGGTAATGCTTAAACTGTCAGATAACAGTTATAATAGTTTAATTTTTTTACTGCATTTATACAAAAAAAAAAGTTACTTCCTACAAAAAAATTAAGATAACTCTTTAAAGGTCTTATATATAGTTTAAGAAGGCTGCTCAAAAGTCACGAACAAACTGTACGGATTATCCTTAAATAACCGCGTTCACATATTTAAAGTTTAAGAATGCTCCAAAAACTTGTACAAAATCTTCAAACATGTACTACCGTATTGAAAAATCTTTGCAATACTTATTAAACTCCAATTTTTTTTTAATTGACAACAAAAAATACATAAGTTGTTTAAAAGATACAATCAATATCTTCTACAACAAGTTATAAATCTGAGAACAAAAAATGAATAAATTAAATATTTCAAATACCTGGATTACTGACGATGTCTGTTAAAAACTTTTTAAAAACAATAACCACAAATAAATATGTTATTTTAACATTACACAATGGATACAAATTTGTTTTGAACGATGAAATTTTAAAAAAAATTAAAAGGAAAGTTCAAATTGTATTATAGCATAGATCAAGCAACTCATAAAGGTGTTGATAAATCTGATAATAATGTTGAATACCAGAAAAACTTTTGTACAGCCTTTTTTAAGTATAGAAATCAATTGCATTCAATTTTTGATTTTCTGACAAATACTAACAAATGGAAAGGTCAAAGTTTAAATAATTTTCGTCAGTATTTT